TCACTCTAATTAAGTATACACTAATCTAGAAAATGCTATACAAATTTTGAATAGAAAGTACAAAATATAGATTTGTGATTCTTTCCAAAGTATTTGTTATTAAAAAAACAGAGGGAGTAAATTGTAAATTGAATGATGGATCATGTGATGCTATTGTAAAATCGTCTTCAGTTGAAGCACCAAACTAATGTAGACGGTATTACATGGTGAATATTGACTTATGAAACCAACGCCTAGTAACTTGTTGGGCCGTAACTTGTCTTGTGTCCTTGGAAATATTCCAATTTATAAACCATTTTTAGGTCTCATTTCACCCACTTTTGAGATAGCTAGGCATCAAATTCCGGTGTCTTGAAAACAATGTAAGTGGAATAATTATTTGATCAACATGTCTATCAGACCAATAATCCGTTCAAGTTGAAGAAAGATTTGATTGTGCCAAGTGAATAAAAATAATTTTTACAAAGCATTATTTAATTGAACTTCAAAATTCAATCATATACTAAATANCATTTTTCACTTATTGATGACACAACCTCAATACATATAAATTATAAACATGATAAAAACGTTTTTCTCTTGTTCAAACTAATTGAAACTTTTAGCATGTATATAACAATTAAAATTTTCAATGGATAAAATAATTTTAGTGAAAGATCGATTCTATATTTTTCTCTCGAGTATAGATTAAACTACAAGAATAAAAAACATCAAAGAGACGAACAACACTTGTGTTTGATCCTCTATAATCAAAGTGGAAATTCCATTTTTTTGTATTTTATAATAATTAACTACGTTTTCAAACTTGAATTATACATATCACATCTATAAAATCTTAAACGCACATTCATTTTGAATATTTCCTTATCCACTGACAAGAATATTTATAAAAATTTCAATCGTTCTATCAAGTTCACAAAAAAGTATAAAAAATTTGATTACTCAGAACAAATCTCGTCTTCCGTCTTAGATATTTCAGTGAGCCAAAAACGGTTTTGCACTTCAGATGGCGCATATCCATTTAAGCTTCTTAGACCATCTCCAATGTATTTCCTTATTTTCTACTCTAAAATAGAGTAAAATATAGCAATTTTCTAATTTCTCTCCAATGTATTTCTCTATTATAGAGGAATGCTATTTTTTCCTCTATTTTAGAGAAAGTATGAATAAGACAAAAAAATCTCTATTTTTTCCTCTATATTTGGAGATAAAAATAGCAATCTCTATTTTAGAGATAAAAATAGAGGTGGGTTGGAGGAAAAATAGAGAAATGCTATATTTTTTTTCTATTATAGAGGAAGAAATAGAGGTGGGTTGGAGATGCTGTTATACCTTTATCGTTGGCTTTTCGTCTCCCATAAACCAAGTTGACATATCGTTCTCCTCTCGGTCTACTTGGATATTTAAATATTACTTTTTGCAACATCTTTACAAGTTGACTTATGGTCCATAACCCAAATATGATGTTAAATTGTAAATAATAAAATCTAATAGGAATTAAATTGAAATGAACCTTTTTACATTGGTTGGTCAACAACTAACCAAATATTTGGGTTGAACTCAAACAGCAAACCCATCTTATAAAAAATCGGAACAAAATAATTGCCCAGAAAAGAAAAAAAGAATATTGTTAAGATTCATGCTGCATAATTTGGGAGAGATCGAATCTTCATCATTGTTTCATAGAATGGTTTTTTTTCTGGAATCAACAACATGAAATTGAGAAGATATATGGAAGCCGAGAGAATTTTGTTTAAAGCCTAAAAATTCTAGAATACATGCATCTTTCAAACGATACAACGTTTGGCCAAAAGAATACATGCATCTTCTAAACAATATAACTTTTAGCCAAAAGATCGTAACCCTTTGTTTTTTTTCCTTAAAAAAATTAAGGACACATGTGCACAGAAAATGAAACTGAACTTTTATAATATATATAATTGGGCCAAGATTGAAGAAACCGAAAGAATGTGGTTATAAATATTACAAAAGATATAACAAATCTTTGTCACCATTTTATTTTATTTCTAAATCACTATACCGCATTTAGCTATCACAAAAATTATTCTCGATATCACAAGCATATTGTTATCCAAAGCTTCAAAATTTAAAAAGGTCGAGCATAAATAAAACACTCCGTTGCCGGGATTCGAACCCGGGTCTCTCGGGTGAGAGCCGAGTATCCTAACCAGCTAGACTACAACGGATTGTTGATAGCTTATCTACATTTTATTAAACTAACATTAATAAAAGGAGGACTAAATCTTGCGTTACAAGTCATTATCGGGTCCACGGT